AAAAAGCTAATCTACTAATTACTAACTTGTTTCTAAATTTGTTGACTTTTCATTTTCCATATGCCTTGGGATTTGAGAATGATTAGAGATAGTCACATTATTTTACAGTTACAGTTACATGGTTATCAGTCAACTAACTTCTACTTGCCTGCAATTAGATAGGTGATTGATAAGATAATTCGTACTTGTAGTTATTCAGAATTAGCACAATCAGTAAATTGGATTAGTCGTCAATGAAGAAGATTAGTAGCTGAAGATAAAAAAATGTCGATTTAATTAAGCAATCATGTTCAGCGATTATAGAGCATTACTCATCCTAAACACAATAGTCAATAAGTATACTTTTCTGATAAACTGCCTTTGTCGCGTACTATAAGAAAATTATTAAGCTATAATTACAGAAAGCAAGTTCCAAATTCCGTGAGAGCAAAGGGAGTTTGGGCATTACCTTGAGAGTTGAAAGATTTACTGAAATTTGACCAAAAGCCAGATTATTTTCTTCCAACAGATGTCTGGCTTTGCCACTCAATACTGAAAGACATATACAAATATTTTCTGGTGTAAGTGTATATCACTTTGAAGCTATAAATGAACATCCAACATTTTAGTACCACAATAACAAGTGCATTTAGAAGTGATTCTGGAAACAAATGTATACGGAGGGACCCAAAAATAAAAATATCATGCAATTCTTTCGTCGAGGTTTAGAGACCCTAATTACCATCTCCTCGGTATATAGATAGACCACTAATAAAAAAAACTATCTCGACAATCAATCTAGCTCCAATGCATTTCAAAAGGGAATCTTAACTCTTAAGTTTCACAATGCTTTGTAAATGGAGTGAAAAGTCGACTGGCTAACCCTACTGAAGCTTCCCAATGACATAGTCAATGTACAATTTTGGTACCGTACTTAACTAATTAGGGGAAAGTGTTCCTTGTTAAAATCAAGACATAAAACAGTTGGACAATGAACTGTTATGAAGGTGCACAATTATGGTATCTGTTACATTACAACAATGCTTCATTTAGAACGTATATGATTCCTCGCATGCAGGCAAACTTCTAGGATATTTTATATAAGAATGGTTTAGGCAAAGGGAATATTTAACAGTCCACTTGGCCAGAGTTTCTAACTTCATTTAACAGAAGCAAACTTACACGTGTACGCAGTCAAGTAACAAATGACTTCAGTAAAAATTACCAGGCAATATCTATAAGACTATAACTTTGCAATAAAAAGAAAAGTATAACGCTCAATTGAAAGAAAATATAAGCAGAGAGGGTCTCAAAACAACACATACAGTTTGAACAAGGAATCAATCTCATCCATATGGTCACCTTTTGGGACGGAAGAAATTTTGTTTAGTAACAATAGCAAATGAGACAAACCTCCCGAAAGCATGCAATCAGTCTGATCATGATGGTTTGTAGTTGAACAATATGGATCCACATTTACTGATGAAGCTGGAGACATGTTATTCTTCAAAGATAACTCCATTTGTTCCTGTGAAAGGTTAACTTTAGAATACCAATTCTTACGGCAGAGTGAACTGATTTATTGTATTAACGGAAACTCAGTTTTAGACTGCATATTCACTAATATACTTGAACAGCGTTTCTTCTTTTGACTATGTCACAACATATTAAACTACATTCTGTAAATTACATCACAGCCATCACCAGGGTCGATACCGCAAAGTCAGTTCAAAGTATTATAAACAAAACGAAGAATATTACCTTTTGATCCCTAATTTGCTTCACAAGGCTCCGGTCCTCCTGTTTTCTCCTCTTTCTCTGAAAGACAACATCAATAATTAGGCACTAGACACCACTCAAAAAAATGAGGACACATCCTTGTAAATACTTCAGGTAGAAAGTTAACGAGCATGTAAAGTCAGACATCTAAAAACAAAACAAAATTAGATTAACTGAGTTAACAGAATATTATGATTAGCCACAATTTTTACAAGGACCTTGAACTTACTGTCATATATCTACATCGAAGAGCAACATCCCGTACGGTTTTGTCACGAAGTGAGGAAGCGATCTTAATGTACCTCAAAACATTGGGTTCATTGGCATATCTGCAGATTTCGAAAGGGAATCAACCAGATGAAACTGGGTTTAGTTATTAGGAAACTAATAGAATACATTTATGTAAATGCAACATAGGCTCCATATGAGAACAGTCCCGATATTACCACTAACAACACGTTGAAAAGAAGCCGCCGTGAGACAGAATACAATATATAAAACGGAATTACATATTAAACTAAGTCGTAATACGATGCGAATCATCCGAGCTTTGGACTACAATGGGAAGCTGATAGCCTGATACAGATGTATCAGAACGGAAGCTAAATTAAATTACACTACTAGAACAAGGACCAAATTTGAGCCCTAAAAAATGCAGAATTTTTCCTAATTCTTTCCCTAAAAAGGAAGAAAATACCTACTTGGTAAGTCCCTCCTCCAACTTGTACTGTTCATCGATCGACCAATCCGCAGCCAGGCCTGTATCGTGCTTCATTCCGGGAACCGAATCGACTGCAAGCGTCGAGGAAGAAGAATCCACAGAGTTCCGATGCGCACCGACAGACGAGAAAACCATACCTCTCCTCCGAGGAGGCGGCCCGTCAATTCCGCTCAAATTCCAGCTTCCCATGGAGGAGTTCCTGTAACAATTCGCCGTCGAAATCAATTCGCAACCACCGGAGCCGCCGCCGCCGCTGCTGCTCCTCGCCGCTCCGGCGGAATTGAACAGTACGCCCTGCTGGCGGTGGTGGAACTCGGCGCTCGACTCACTCGCCATGTGTTTGTGTAAATGATTCAGCCAAGCATGAAAAATTACAGCCTTTGATTTGATTTATAAAAAAAAAAAAAAAAAAAAATTAAATAGAAAATCAGGTCTGCCAAAAAGGTTTTCTTCTCTGCAACTCCTCACATTTCAGGTTGAACCGTTGAAGAATCGGAAAAGTGAATTTCCATATTTGTAGTGAGAGAGACAAATAATTTACCACCTCTGTTGTACGAAACTACTTTCTAACTTTGGGTAAATTTTATTTTTACGCAAATTAATACAGTCGAAACTAATAAAATTTAGGGTAAATAGCACTTAACCCCCTTGTGGTTTGGACATTTTGCACATGACCCCTTATGGTATGAATTTAGGCACATAATCACCTTGTGGTTTTGAAATTTTGCACATGACCCCCTTATGGTATGAAATTAGGCACATAACCCCCTTGTGGTTTTGAAATTTTGCACATAACCCCTTTCTGGTATAAAATTAGCACATAACCCCCTTGAATAGAAAACTGAAAAAAACTAAATTACCCCTATCAAGTCAAAACTTCTTGTTTTAATTTAAAAATAAATATTCTATATATAAAATGAAAGCTTAATGTATTTTTTTTGTAAAATGAAAAATATAATATATTATTGTTTTTTTTTATTTTACAGCACAAAAGGTATAAAATACTAGTTATTGTACGATTGACAATTTATTCGATTTTAAAAATCAATTTGAAAATCTTTAACATTATCCTTAATTATGATTATTATATTACTATTTTGCTATATAATATATTATATTATAGCTCTTATCGAACTTTATTTTTTTTAAACAAATTGCTTTATTTTTTTTTTCTTTCGGAAAAATCTACAAAAAACATTTCTCTAAAGTTGAAATGAAAATTGTGCGGTAAAATAGAAAAAAACAATAATCATATATTATATTTCTCATTTTACAAAAAAATACATTAAGCTTTTCATTTTATAAGATGATTATTTTTAAATTAAAACAATAACTTTTGACTTGATAGGGGTAATTTAGTATTTTCCAATTTTCTATTCAAGGGGGTTATGTGCTAATTTCATACCATAAGGGGGTCATGTGCAAAATTTCAAAACCACAAAGGGGTTATGTGCCTAATTTCATACCATAAGGGGGTCATGTGCAAAATGTCAAAACCACAAGGGGGTTAAGTGCCTAAATTCATACCATAAGGGGGTCATGTGCAAAATGTCCAAACCACAAGGGGGTTAAGTGCTATTTACCCTAAATTTTATTAATGTAAGGAAATATGAAATTTTCGAAATAATAATTTAATACGTTTCCGTAAATTAATACAATCGAAACTCGTAAAATTTAGTTATTAACGAAATATTAAACTATCGAACTAATAATTTAATACGTTTTCATTGAGCCGGGGTCGAGATAAATTATTATTCAAGCGAGATTATTAATTTGTCGAAATTCCAATGTAATGAATTTTTTTTTTATTTACCCCTATATATTTTTTTTCCTGGTGGTGAAAACTAATTCTTGTTTCATTCTAAAACAATTATGAATAAGCTGGAGTTGGAATGAAATATTTTTCCGAAATCGAAAGTTTTCGGATCGGTAATCTATGGAGTACAAAATTACGTATTATTATTAATATTGATATTATAAGTTTAATTTTCAAAAAAATGGAACTTTCGAAAATATGAAGTCCAAAAAAATCAGAAAATTAATATTTGGTATGAGAAATACTGCTTCAAACTAAAAAAATCAAAATTGAAATCGACAGAAATTGAAAATTTGTTTTAAATATACAGGTAAACCTCTATAAATTAATACCGTCGGAACTAGAGAAATTCTATTTATTTATTGAATTATTAAATAATCGAGTTAATAATTTAACACATTTTTACCGAGTCGGGATAAAAAAAACTATTATTCAATCGATGTTATTAATTTATGAGATTCTATTGTATATAAAAAAGATATATACATATTGAAGATAAAATATATTTGGTATACTAGTGGCTGCATTACGAATCCCAATAAGCATTTGATGCTAGGGTGGCAAAACTGTGCACCCCCCATATATTTGGATTCTTTCCGAGCAGGCCCCTCAAATCAGAGAAAATTACATAACAACCCTAATAATGCAAGGAGAGTTGGTAAATAAGGGCTTTAAAGGCGTCCCACCAACCCTACGAGAAAAATAAAAAGAAAAATAGTAATAAATAAATAAACCTTATATTATAGTACACTTGATGAAGCCTAAATGACCCTAGCAACAGTAATAAAATGGAATGGATCTTAGGGACAAAGAGAAGCTCAAGACGAAGGAAAACCCGACCGAGAAAGAGTTGACTGCCCTAGAAGACCTGCAAAAAGGAGCGACAGAGACATTTTTCCGGTGTCAGCACTACAACGGTCAAATCAGTCGGGTAGAGTCGAAAACGGTATATTATTTCTAAATTACTACTAATTGATACTAAAACAAATGGTGGAGCTAAATAAAGTTACAACTATTTTGTAGTAAAATCGAAGACACAAGAAAGAAAAAAATCACACACACACAATATTGACATTGAAATTGCCTTGTCTTGAGGATTGAGGATTGAAGTGTCTTACTCAACTTTAATGAACCACAACAAACAAAAAATTAAATAATACAAGCCACACTCTTTCATCTGCCATTTTCAGCCAAACAAACAATTACCTCGGAATTTTCCACGGTTTCCCATCCTCGGGGTATTTGATGCTACATCGGGTGTTTTTTAACTCTTGATTTGCACATAATTACACGCACCCATGTGTACGTATGCTTAGTGAGCAGTTATTACCTTCATCAACGGTTAAAAAGCATCCGTATATATCACCCGATGTAGCATCTAACCCCCCTATATCCTCCTACTACGGGAGCCACTATAGGACCAGGGGTCATGGCCCCCAACATTTCTCAAATCCCTATTGTTTTATATAAAGATTTAAAACAAATCGTGTACAATTGCATCATCGAACGCCCACATGAATTTTTTTATTGCATTCGCGTTCCCAAACTTATAATCCTAACTCGTTCCAGTAGATGGCACCATAAAACATAACTTGCAACTTCTACCAAAAAAGCATTCATCTTTGAATAGATTCTCTTGAAGAAATAAGCACGGGAAAAGCAATGATGCCAAACAATTATTATTCATCATCTCATGTTACAATCCTTCTCTCAAGGCAAATACAAGCGTCGCGAGTATCGAGAGTAGCTGCTACAATGGTACGAACGAAGAAAAAAAATCATCGAGCCAGAAAAAGGGTTCAGATACTCCACAATAAAATCAAAAAAAAAGTTTTTCTAATTGTACACGATAACACTAACTTGACCATCTCTACTCCTGATATCAAAATTAGCAGAGTATATGAAAAACTAGCCAAATCCAAAAGAAAATTACCCGCAAATACAAAAAAACGAATTAGCTGAGCAAGATCCATAGTTTTCTGACCATTTTACCCCTCTAGTACATGACACCCATTTTCTTTGCAAATTCGTCCCCATCGTCTTCTTCATCAGGGTATTCCCCTTCGTCTTCTCCATTCTCACCATCATACAATTCATAATCCTCTCCATCCACATGCTCATAATCGGACTCACCTTCCCTCGGCTCGTACACTTCAGCCTCGAGATTCACCCCGTCCTCAACGAGTATACCTTCTTCGGCTGGACTGCTCTCTTCCTTGTCAATCTTATCTGCTGCTTCTTCCACATTCTTATCATCGGTAATAATACCTTCCTCTTCAGCAATTCCACTTCTTTCACCTCTCTTACGCTTCAGAATCTCTTGTAGAGGCTTAGGCCCCTCAAACGAAACGCCGCCTCCACCAATTTGTTGATGCTCGACATCAAGAATAGAATGTTTTCTCTTGCCAAGTGACTGTTGATCGCTCAAATGCCGTCGGCTAGGTTCGGCATTTTTCCTGTTCTTTAACTCAGCAAGACTCTTTGGTGGAGCAAAATCGGCCTTATTATTGTCACCTGCAAAATCTCTTCTCATGTGCTGGCCTGTATAATTATTCCTCCCACCGTTATTAAAAGCTTCTCCGACCCTTGACTGTATCTTGTCTCGAATCCCTGCCTTGTAAGGGGAGATACTTGCCCTCACTGGTGACCTTCTACTACGGTCACCCCCCCTAACCATATCCCTTTCGTTCGGAGATATTGATCTTCCAGGCATTCTAATTCTTCCTCGAAGACGACTGCTGAGAGAAGTCTCATTCAAGGAATAATGTTTTTCGTCTCTATGCGAAGAACCATGGTAGCTCCGGTCTCTCACTTCCATGTCACGGGCGTGTTCGTGGCTAATGACTGATCTTAAACCATTTTGTCTCTTCTGCTTTGCTAAACGGTGCCTTAGATCTAATTCATCCACTTGACTAACATTATCACGCCTGGCGTGTGGCCTCCTTTCGTGATAAGATCCTCCCGACATCCTCTCGGACGAAGCTCTACGCGGATCCCAACCGTACTGCCCCTTGTGGTGGTCATGCGAGTTATAACCAACAGGGTCCTGATATCTGTCATCATCAAGAGCAGCAATCGCGTTGTAATCGATAGAGTGACCCATATCATATTCATTCCTGGATTCATGTTCTCTCGGCATTCCATATCTATCTTCACCAGGATAGTAATCGGAATCTCTTCCCTCGTCATCTACGAGAACATCGAATCCAGGAGAGGGCTCTCTTGAAACTTCTTCTGCTTCCTTACTGTTCATGCTTTCAGGTCCGTCCAAAAGGTGAGGTGGCTGAACACGATTGGACCAGCTAACTGGAGTTCCGTTGGTAACAGGAGGAGTAGTTCTGTATCTAGGGAAATCATTATGGCTTGATGTTTGTGGTGCCCTCCTGTTTACGGCAAATTCATTTCTAGGAGGAGCTTCCACCTCAACGATTGGATTTGCCCGTGTGGAGTCCTTGACAGGTTTAGGTACACTCGCAGGTAGGACCACCTTCTTCTCTTGCACAGGCTTTTCGGTTCCACTAAAAGCTTTCTTCAGAGTTGCAGGCTCGGCAGCAGATGATGTTCCTGCCACTGTTGAGGCTTTGTTATTCAAGGAATTTGGCACGTGGAGAAAGTGACACCAATCACCTTTTACACAGTGCCCTTTCTGGAAAAATATGCAAGGCACTCCTTGTTTGGCAGATGCATGAGGAGTAACATGTGGGGTAGGTGTTATCGCAGGCTGTGTTGCAGGCACATGCGTTACAGGCACAGAGGGTCCAGCAGATGTTGCTGTTTGGGTTCCCGGCAATCCATCAAAAGGCTAAAGAGCGCCAAAAAAAAA